GCCTGCAGTATTATGTTTACTCATCCTTTCTTCTTATTAATTCTGTTGTCAGCAGATACCCACAAAGCCCACAGGCAAAGTGTCTCTTTCCTTCCCTCACACCAGTCCACAGCAATAGCAGATTGCCATACTCTATCAGTTAATTCATCAGCTTTTGTGGCAGATGTCTGTGTGGTGGATCTAAAGGTTCCAGCCCAGCAGATGACTCAGATTTCAGCACGCTGGGGCTTCATTTCAGCTGTATACTTTGAATCAATGAAAACTTTCACCCAGAACAGTATTAAAAGTATGTAAAGGCTGCAACATCAGGCACTCCAAAGTCAGGAATGGAAACAGAAAAGTTGCCTATGCAGAAATAATTTAAGACTTTGGTATATGTGTGCATGACAAAGGAGATGATAATTAATGAGCACACCCCAAGTGGGTGGTTTTTTGTTGTTTTTCATCAGGTCTCCAGCTCACTCAGGGCACAAGGTGAACAGTGTCTAACATAGTAATCATTTGCATGTAGGACTCCAGCTTCAGTGACAACAGGACGTGGAAAACAGGCAGAATAGAAGAAAGATGGATGCAAGAAGACAAAGTACAGTGTTGCAATGAGAGTGCCTGGGAGCACTGCATCCCATCTCTGCATTTTCATTTGAGGGGGGCAAATCACTTGAAACAGATTCTTCCCAAGCAGTCCGTTGCTGCCTATTCCTTGTCTTCTAGGTCCTAAGAACTCCAAATGACAGAAATAGTCTATTCCAATCTTCCTTGGGGAAGGAAGGGGTAGAAACGAGACAGTGAACTTATCAAGCCTTGGTGAATGACATGAAAGAAATCTGATCCCAAGCATCTTAAATTATCTATCTCAAATGAGTAGGTACTTCTGATCATAACTGTCTCTGCCTCTGTTTCCTATCCATACAAGGATAACATATTTGTCTCTCACAGGGGTCCCCCCAAAAATAATTAATGCTTCTGAAATGCTTCCAGGGTATAGCAACGAGCAAAACAAAAAAGCCCACGAGGAGATTAACAATTCCATCCTCAGAGCAGGACCTGAATAGCGCACAGTAAATACAGGACAGGGCTGCACAATGAACACTGAAGCTAAAACAAAATGCTGAATAGCTGCTTATTATGTGAAAGTTTTCCATTTGGAGAACTCAGTGAGGCAGGGGTCTAGCTGAGAGAATAACATGAGCCCCTATGATTAAAGACCATATCACAATGCACATACTCAAGGGGACTGAGCTGACACTGAACACGCTACCTAAGTTCACTCATTAAATCTGTTTTAGAGTGCATTTGCTTGTCAGGAAAAGTGCTGGATGGCCATACGAAACCTGTCCAACAATCGAGCAGTTCTACTGCTCTCTCTGGCTCTGAGGCTTCATGTTATCCCAGAGATAAGGACTGTTTGATCTCCACAGACCATCCGTATCTTGAGCTTGCCAGTGCCGAGCACTTGATCCCCAGTCCAAAACATTTAAGCACCTGCTTAACTGTAAGCACACAAGGAACACTGCTGAACTCAATCAGATTGTTCAGGTGTTTAAATCTACCTGCGCATATATGCTTTACTAGATTCCTTACCTAGACATTTGTTCTCCAAACAGCTCTCTGCATGAAGTGTGTTATCATGCCCAAGCAGAACTTCCTGACCCCACAGTTCAGCTGTTGGAACAGCTCATATGAACATCCTTTGATGTACTTCAGAAAAAAGTCAGCTGAGTTGGTTTAAACAATACATTCATGCTCTGAGGTAATTCCGCTAACCTGCTCCAGCATGGACAGGGGAACCATCTGGTGGAGAGGTGCGAAGGCAGTGATGTCTGGCATACGGGCAGGGAAAGGTACTTAAGAACAGAAATATCTTCAGCCAACAACACATGATCTAGAAGAGCAAGTCTGTCACTTGAGTCTCATCTGCAAGACTGACACCACTAGAAACAGCTGAGAATATCCCCTCACTTCACATAGGCCAACACAATGACGGTGACATACCATCAGGGGTGATTTGTTTCAAAATCGGTGACATGGAGATCAAAAGCTGCCTATCGTTCTCCGATTTCTTGACTCATCCACTCCCTCCTAAAGATGATATGGTCATTATGAAATTTGAAACACTTTAAAAATAAAATAAGTGCACTTTGTAAAACCCAGAAGAACAGAGAACCACAGGTGCTTTAGTTTATTTTTATACAGTAGCTACAGTAAACACTCAGTCTTGGACCCCTCAGTGCTGGAATCACTGTAGCTATGGCATTGTGTGCACCTCATACCCACTTCACTTATTTCTATGTCAGTGATCCTCCTCCCTCCAGAATGAATTTTTTTCAAAGAAACAGCTTATCTTCCATACTGCAGCAGCAGAAGAAAAATCCTCCTATACAGCAATATTTAATATGTGGTTTTATGCTCTTATGGCAGCTAATTTTCCTTAAATGATTTAAGGGAATGAATACATCTAAAAGGCCTGCACTGAGCCATTCTGCAAGAGCAACATGAAGCTGAACTTCCTCTGTTTTAAACAATCCAATCTCTTGTGGGCAGCTCCTCATGGCAGATCTTGTCTAGAATGGGAGGGATGAAGGTTATTTTTTTATTACATTATTTTGCAGGGAACCTTCCTTTGCATTTTATTTCATTTCCTATTCCCCAGTGTGGGGAGACTTCAGGTGAGAAGAGGGTGACAGAACAGACATGTTCAAATGCATAATCCCTGATCTGTCGCAGTTTGACAACAGCCCCCCTGCAACTGGTTCACCTACGCATGCAGCCAAGCATCTATCATGTGTTACTCATCTAAAAGTTACACTCTGCACCTGGACAGTACTAAAAGCCTGAAGTGATTCAAAGCAGGTTTTTATTTTGGCACTCTGTCAGGAGGGGAGGGGTGGGTTTTTTTTCTCAAGTACTTAATAAAACCAGTCACTGCTAAAGCAGGATGGCACACGTACAGTCCCATGCCCTCTCTCTGAGGCAGCTGGCATGGTTTCCCCTTTTGTTCCAGCACTTTGGATATGGACTTTTCATACAAATATTACTTGGATCAGAGGGACTAAGAATCTGGTATTGCCTGAAAAAAACAATAATCCTTTATACTGCATTGTATTGCTGAGGGTCTCTAAAACTGTCAGAAAGGCTGGTATTGACTAGGGGATGATAAAACCAGACAAGAAGGTTTTTTGGTGAGCAGCTAATTCACTGAGAAATGAAACTCTGAAGAGCCACCTGAACTTTGCTGGTAGTTTAATCCAAAAAAAGATTCCTAAATAGTATTTAAAAAAAAATTAAATAACCCTGAAAATGAAATGTTACATTTGTGTTTGAAAGGCTCCTTTTTCTTTCTCTTGGAAGGAAATGGACTGGAACTGGTTCATCTCACATTGATCACTGGGGAGGGGTGGGAAACAGAGAGATGGAGGAAAAAAAAGATTTCCATTTCAGACCAACTCTGACCAAACATTTCTTTTGATTTTTCATTTTAGCCACCACAGCAAATAAATTCATTCTTCACACATAGGGCACCTGGAAACTACCAGCTTTTCAAAGCTTCCCAGAAATGGGACAAAGCTGAAAAGAATTTTTTTCCCCCTAAGAATAGCTTTATTTTACTGACAGTGACTTTTAATAGTGCCAGAATTTGTTCCTTTACAAGCTAGAAACATTCCCCTATACCCAACTTTCTTGTAATGTTTAAGGACCTCTTTATCCTTGGAAAAACAAAACTTTCTTCTTAAACAAAGCAGCCTGCATGCTGTCTCCATCATCTAGAAGGACAACTGTCTTGCTATTTGGGGTAGGAAACAGAGGAAAGACCAGACTGGCTGTAAAGCTCCTTTCTTTACTTTCCATCATCATCACTCTAATACAGCAGGGGTTAGGAGCCTTGGTTACAGGCACAATGCTAGGTGCTGCACAAACAGAACAGAAAGACAAATTCTGTGCCAAACAATTAACAGTCTAAGAAAATATTTTCCATGCAATTGGATTCCACTCCATATGTAAGGACCTTATCCATTAACCTATCTTCCTTGTACCTAAGCCCCTTCTGTACCAGTATTACTACTAGCTGGAAGATAAAAAGTCCAATTAAGATGCACTGGGAGAACCAGGAGTTAAATTAAAGGAGCTCTTATCCTATACATGATGTAGCCAGGGGTAAGAAACCTCTTTCTTTATTAGCAAGGCAAACCAGGTCCTTTTTCACACTAACAGAAAGAAAAAAAAAAATTGGCAAAACTTCAGGGAATTAAAGATCCAAATGCCCTCTCCATAATAGGAAGTAAAAAGAAAGGACAAATACTAGGAATTCCATACAGAAAATATAATCATCTATAAAATCTCCTCTTATTTTTTGGTAGTGATTTTTTCCTACCCATCTCCATCTTTGTTCAGCAGTTTTTCTTAGGTGCCATGTTCAATAATCCTTTTGCGCTTTGATGTCAAACATTCAATAGTTGTCTGCCTCCCTCCCACTCCTCCATATTCTCTGCAATCCATCTCCTCTGATTAGCTAAGATTTCACCTTCAAGAACACCTCTGCTTCTCCGAGTGAGCATGAGTGTGTGTGTGTGTGTTTATATAATATTTGCAAATATTATCCCCCTCCTGCTCTGCACGCTACATAGCAACCCCTGCCGGAGCTCTGGATTAAACATCAATGCCATTCAGTAATTCAATTTGGGGGGCCTGCTGTTTTGAATCCAGCTCAGGACATCACGAGAGCAGCTTGATTGAATTTAGGCCCTGCTTTCAGAATTATTCCATTTTTAATCTGAGCTGAACTTCATTTCACTTGCTCTCTCCACTCTGATGCTTCCTATGAGAAAAGACACAAATGTTCCCTGATCTCATGCAGTGGGGTGGTGTTTGATTACTTCTCTCTTATTTTGGTTTGCCACTGCATTAAGCCACATCGGAGTTACTGGCACCTTGCATAACCCTGCAGCGGGAGAGAGTCGGTACCTCAGCAAGTGGCTGTTCTGGCATCACCTTTCCCCACTCACCGGATTGTTGTACATCTCAATGATGAGCTGTTTCACTCCGTGCAGTGTGGGATGAGCCCAAGGAGATGGATTTGCCCAGTGCCGGTTTAAATCAAACCCCATCAGGGAGCACCTGCACACACAAAAATACAACATACACAAAGGACATATATGGGCTGCAGCCTCTTCTGGCCTCAGCTGCAGAATTAGGGCTATATTCTGCAGCTTACGTATTTAAACAAGTTATTCTCATGGAAAAAACAAAAGCAAATGCTCCCCCAAGGACGAGGAAAGCCTGCAGCAATGGCCACTTTTAGAAATAACGTGAACAGCAGAGTATCGACTGACACATCTTTGGTCATTCAGCCTTCTTCCCCTCCACAGTACATATGCTCACTCTATCCTTTGCCTTTTGCCAGCTTGCCACTCTGGCACTGGAAGAGCCTGCTTGGCCTTCAAGGTTCCCTTCTCTTGAAAAGAAGGGGGTCTAGCTGGGGGTCTATATCTATGAGGATGATTCATAAACTGCATCACCAGGCATTTACTTTGCCCTCAGTCAGGCCTTGACTCAGCAAAGCTGTTAAGAGCATTGAAATCAATGGCTATTAAGTATGTGCTTAAGGGATTTAAAGCGTGAATGTAACTGTTCCACTAACCCAGGGCCTCAGTCTCTTCCCCTCCTGCAATTGCCTACACAAAAGTTACCCAGCTAAGACACTAAGTTAAAATGCTTATTGGCCATCAAATCTTGTGGGCATTGAAGTATGTATGCCACCTTGGCTTCTCCTTCCTGCCCTGACTCATACCCCTCTCAGTACACTGTCTTGAGTTTGATTCTGCTGCTCCCAGTCCCACAGAGTAATATCCCATTCTTTGTGAAGTCATATTGAAACTCAATGGGCTGTTGGCAGAGTGAACACAGAAGAAATTAAAAAGCTGGAAGTGGCACAAATAGGAGGGGGAAGTCATGTCCCTTGCTTACTGCAGAGATCACCTAGACAATCTGTGGCCACTGATACAAGCAGGGAGAGAAGTCCCTTCTGTTGTCCCGAGCTGAGCTTGGGACCAATGGATCTTGGGTAGATCTTGCTCAGGAATTCTATGAAAGATCACACAAATAATAAAAGCCCAGGCAGAGATGCAACTTCCTCTATATTTAAAACAAAACAAAAAAAAATCAACCTCACTGCTAAGCGTTAAAGCTTCTTGAGAAGAGAAGAGCTTTCATTGATCCCTGGTCTATTATGAGAATGTCTGTTCAGCCTTAATCTTTTCAACACACCTATGCAAACAATAGAGATGTGCTCCAATAGTGCTATCCTTTGACAAAAATTCTAAGAATCTGATGACCAAAAACCATAAGTTTAATTGGCAAAAAGAAAGGAAAATGCCTCACTTCTCTAACAGCTGAAACAAATGATTGCATGCACCAAACCCAAATAAAAACTAAGACAGAGAGGTGAAATGCTAAGAAAAGTGAGGGGATGAAACCAGAAGATTAAATTCATTTCCAAAAATTATGAATTAATATTTTCCTATGAGCCAAAAAATACAAAGTTAATGGGACATTCTTCTGTAAAAATTCTTATGTGAAGCTAAGCAGGCAGGAGCTGCCTTGCTCCTTGGCCTTAAACAACCCAACCATCAGGCTGTCTGGGAGTTCAAACACCCACATGCTAGCTCTGCAACTCCATCACTGCTGACTTGGTGTACCGATGAGCCGGACGGCTCGCTGTGGTGGAGAAAGTTACTTCCTTGTCTTGGTGGTCACTTGTCTGCTTGTCTAGAGAACAGATGGATTTCTCCTCTGGACACTCCAACAGCTACAATTCCACAGACAACTCTGAAAGTTGTCTCCATCCCACTATAAAGCAAACCACATCATATAAGATTATTCTCTCTCTTTTTTTTTTTTGTCTTCACGTAAACTCTCTCCACTCAGTTCTACTAAATCCTATCTTCTTTTGAACTCACAGACATTAATATAAAATCAGAAGTACTTCCAGAGACATAGGTGGAATTACACTGGGATAAAACTGGTATAAGAGCAGAATCACAGGAATGAGTTTTTCATTTAACAGACACAGAAACTGTGGTGATCATCATTACTTTTACTGTATTTTAGCACAGTTCCCAAGAAAACACCATGCTCACTCTACAGGATAACTTTCTTAAGAGATCAGAACCGGAAATTGTATCCCCTTGTATGGTTAATGTGTCCCATTTACATTTTGGTTTAAGAATATTTAAAACTAATAACACTACAGAAAACAAGTATATTTTGATTCCATTATGTTCATCTCCAAAGCACATTGAAGTGGCCAAGCTACAGAGCACCGAAAGCAAATTTTAAATTCAAACATGGATTGTCAATATTAAATTTGGGGTTTGGGACTTTTTAGATAAGTTTATATAAGTCATCCCTATAGGGAACAGAAGTAAGCAATATCTAATTTCTGTAAGATACTAAGGCATTGTGATTTGCAATATTTGAATTTGCCATGAATGTCTGGTTAGTGATGAATCCCATAGTTCATTTCAAGCAACAAGAACAGTTGAAAATAGTTGTCTTTACTTGAGAAGACTTTATAAACAGAAGGAATCAATGCTTGACAAACAAGTTAGTAATTTGGGAAGCTCCTCTGAGTTCTATTTAATAGGAACCCAAATTAATTTCCAAATATCATTTAGCTAGTCTTTGATGTGGTATATCACATCTTTATCAATGTAACAACAACTAATTAAATTTCTGATGTAGGCATTGCTATTTCTTTCCAGTCTGGGAACAGTGTAAAATTTTATTTTTTCCCCCTGTTTTTAAGTCTTTTTTCTTTCCTTTTTGCCTAAAGACAAATTTGTATCTACCACATTCTCTCTTTATTCATCTGTTGCAAACTTGTCTCTCTAAGGAAACATCAAGTTGTGTTCCTTGGTACTTGAGATTTGATTATTGACTCTATTACATGTAGAACTGTCTCCCAAAGCTCACGTATATCAGGACATGACCAAAACATACGGTAAGAGTCTCCCACATGCCTATTACAGATCCTGCATTCATTATATTCTCTTGCTCCCAGATGATGCAATCTCCCTTGTGACTAATACCTCCAGTGCAAGAACTTGAACGGGATAACTTAAAAATTGCATCTTGCACTGCTTTTTAATTCCCCCTACCATCTTAAACCAGCCCATTTCTAGTACACGTTGCTTGCTACTTCCATTGCTTAACTGTTTACCTGCTGCTTCAAGCACTGGGTAGGCAAAGTAGAAATGTAGGTATTCTCTGGAAACAGCAGCTCTACAATAGGAAACAACTGTGTTCCAATATAATACAGGATCTTTTAATATTTAAGACCAGCTTTCTTACTCAGACTGCAAGTGTTGTCATTGGCTTCAGTATGGTTCCTCATGTGACTATCAGTGTTCCCCAAATTTAGAAAGGGCCTCCAAATCTGTCTTATACAGATTAAGTTTATTTTGTGCAGTAAATAAACTAATGTGTTCAGTACAAAATTAACAAGGGGAAAAAACCCCAAATTATACCAAAGGACTGTTTAAGGATGATCTTTGAAAGGGGATATGGAAGAGACCAAAACAGGACACATTAGAGACTCCAGGAGGTGCAAGGGAAGACAAAAGCAGCTTCAAAATTAGTGAGGGCTGGAGCAGGTGAAGGTTTCCAGATTAAGGGCACTGGAGAATACCCCATTCCATGAGGTTTAATGGCCATGCCCATGAATGATCTTATAAATGTGGCAGGTAATATTGACATGGAGCCAGATAAGAATGACGTGCTGGCACAGACTCTCATAGGTTAGAAAAAAGTATAATCAGAAGTAGGTGAGCTTTCTACAGCAAGAAAAGTAGCAAGCTGCTACTGTTACCTGATTGTGGTCTTCATTCATACTGTGAAAACCTGGATTGTGTGTCAAAAAGTCATTGCCGCCACAAAAAATGACATGTATGTAATTTAAAATATTGAAGCCATTAACAATTGTTTGAATTTTGGATTATGCTTCTTAGGGTTTGCTAGATATACAGACCACATACTATGTTTCTGCTTTGTGATTGAATGTACATTTAAATCAGGTTCTGTGATTATACTTGTTGAATTATAATTGGCGTTTCACAAATGTTCTCCAGCCTTTTTCTAAAATTTCTGTTTTCTATAAGTAGATAAATTTATTACAGTGTTTATAAATTTACATAAACAGAGTGCAAATTCAGTCAAAGCAAATGAGTTTCAAAACTGAAATGGAAACTGAAACATTTTGCAGTATTCATCCCTCCCTACTTGGGAGACAGCCAGATCTCAAGAGGTTACCAGCTCAACTCAGTAAAACCAAAGACGTTCAGACCAGCATTCAGCTTGCTGGGCAATTATCTGGACAGAACCTCCCTGCCTCTCGGGGCTTAACTCATCATTGGTTTTAAGGATTTCTTACGCAGCTGCTTTAATGAAAACATCCTTGTCCCTTTCTAGAACTGAGGAAGGTTTAGTACCAAGGCCTATGCTGGATTTATTTTTAGGGCTGCTTCCTATTCTTTCAAGTTGTGCCTCTTCTTTCTGGAATCTCCAAGTTATAGAAACCTCCAGGAACTCTGTCTTCCTTTCACTTCAGTTCTCCCTCTCCTGTTCGTTTTTCCTACTATGTGAGTCTAAGTCTCTCACTAACAGACCCATTTCCACAAGGTGAGATACGGAGAATAATGGAGGAAAGGAGTTAAAGAAATCCTTTTTCATGGCATATGATTTATTACAAAGAGAACTCTACACTCTTCCCTTCAGCTTTGTAAGGTTGCGTTGGTTCATTGGATCAGTACCAGGTGAATCTCCAGATAATACTGCACACAAAGCCAGGGAGTTCAAATCCACAAATGGCACTACCAACAGGGTTAGGATTTGAAATTGAAAAGGTTGTGGGAGGAGGGGGTGCACTCACTTTTTTTTTCCTCAGGCTTATTGCAATAAGAGTGGAGACAGAGGGTAATTGGTCTCTATTGTTGCACTTCTTCGAAGCAAGAGTTATAGCAAGAAACTGCTGTGAGACTGCAGCCTGCAATATCATCCAGGAAGAGTAGGTGTGCAGTATGAGAGAGTGAATACAAGGGGAACACATGGAAGACTTGCTT